AAAAAAAAAAAAAAAAAAAAAAAAAAACATATTCCTCTACTGGCTCAGCAAACCCTAAAAGAAAAGAGATGGAATATGAAATAACAGAATAGCTGTTGGCTCATAATAAATTTAAATATACACAATAATGAATCATTATCTACTTTTCAATAATTGTCATATTCGAAGGTTTTTTTGAATTTTTTTCAAAAATATTTGTAATAATCATTAATAACAACAATGATAAATCTGCAAACCCGACTACTGCCCAATTTCCGACAAACTATAAAACAATAGAACAAAAACTTCTTGAAATCGACATTCAGAAAACACCTATGAGCATTCACTTAAGTGCCGTATTCACTTCTTCTAAACTTGAATCCTCGCTGCTCACGTCTTTCAAGTTTCGTAATCTACTATTATTACAGCTGGTTCAGCACACAATGTCAACTACATTCCAAAATTGTTAAATCCTACTATCTGCCGATGAAAAAAGGAATAACACACAGAAAAACATCGTATGCAGTGCTTCAATAATTTCTCATTACCCTTCTTCTGCGTTACCGATGTTGATGTTACATTAATTGTAGGCATACCGATCTCATGAAAATTTTAATAAACAATATTTCACGTCCAACACTACCCAACTGTTGTTTTCTGATAATACGACTGCTTTAACTTTATTTTGAAACCGCATCCTAAAAAGTAGCGATACTTCAAGTACAAATCATTCTCATTTCAAAAAGAAAGCTAAAATTTTTTTAGCTATAAAATAAGAAAACGAATCAAACTATTGAAGTGATCTTTTTTTATTAACTTTCGACAAATACCTATTTAGACCTGAAATTTAAAATTGCAAGAATAAATGAAAACAACTGTTGTAAAAAATAAAAAGTAATCAAAAAAAGTAGTTTATACACATAAATAAACCAGTAAATCTACAATTTTAATTTAAAAACGAAGAAGTCGTGAGAAAAGTAAACTTTTTAGCATGACTTCATTCAGAACTCAACGTAACCTTTATTGCGGAAACATTTAAATAACATTCACTAAGAACAATGACTGGATTCACTGCTCGGAATATAAAGCCACAATAAGTAATTAAAAGTAAGGTTATCCAAAAGATAACAGAAATTACATTATTAACATGAACGAAGATACAATTGGGACAAAAAATATAAAACCACGAAAAAATAGTTGAGCAAACAAAAAAAGAACTGTTAAGCACCAATAAGCGGTTAGGAAAGGTATATCTATGGCACATGCGTAAAAGCTACCTGTAAACATATTTCACAGCTAATCCTCAAATTTGCAGAAAATATAAAAATGACACTTTCATTGAAAAAACTGAAAAAGAAAGTAACAGTGATAGGTATTACTACCACAATAGCCCACTAACATTTCAAAAAACCGTTCCGTCACTCATATCAACCTTATCAAAAGTTACTTCCATTTTCTCGACAATATTACGTCAACTATAATTAAGATGATTATGGTCTTCACGAATCGCATTTGAGTAATACGTAATCTTAAAAAAACTTGAGCAATTAAGCGAATAACAACTGAGGCACTTAAACTTACCACAAAAACTAATATTTCTTTTACTTTTAAAAGAACCAATTATTTTCAGCTGAGGTAAAATAGAAGCAGGTGAGCATGCAAAGAAGCTGTAACAATCCATAAGTAAACAACTTCAGAAAAAAAAAAATTGAGCAATTTCGGAAATAAACTTATGTCTCATCAACAGAAAGAATTCATAAAACCTAAATATTTCACAACCTTGCCAAAATCATCATTGCCCGACTTTCAAGCATTTTTCTTCGTTTCAAGTTCCTTCTGTTTCTCTTCTGCTACTCTGCTTATACGTTCGAAAGTTTTCATCATGTCGTAACGAATTCTTTCGGTTAATCCGGGAACGTCCTCCAAAGCTAGCTAAAAAGGTCCGTTGCTACAAAATAAAGACATCATTTAGAAGACTGAAATAAAATAATAAAAAGTTCCTGAAGCACTTAATAATTTTAAACCTTTACAACAGTAAAAAAACCTCGTCTGTCGACACAGGACTCATTATTTCAACAACGAGATGACCGTAAGTTTTAAAAAATTTTCCTTCTTTATCATAAAATGCGCGATATGATGAAATGACACAAGGAATTACTGGAACTTTAGCCTGAAAAAATTTTACAATTTAAAGAAATAAACTAGTAACACAGACTATTTGTCAAAAAATACCCAAGAACTTGTATCAGTCACAAAAATTAAAAAGAATAAAGATAACTTCTTGTAACATTATTTCGTCCCACCTGTACCGCAATGTTAAAAGCTCCCTTCTTAAACGTCAGCATTCCACCCTCATGATTCCGTGTACCTTCTGGGAATACTACAACACTAAGATTTTTCGAAAGAATGTTGTCAGCACACTTCGTTAATGACTGTAAGGCCTTTTTGTGATTGAACCGATCAACAAATACTGAACGGCACTGAAAAATAAAAGATCAGAAAAACAGATCTGGAAAGAAAATACAAAAATTCAAAGAACACACCAAAAGTGCTACAAAACCAAAAATTGGCAGGAACACGAGCGACTTTTTCATCATAATGGTACAGTTTTTAGGCCAGAACTGGGATAAAACCATAACATCCAAGGAGCTCTGTAATAATAGCAGTGAGCAATTCACAAAAAGTTAAATTAGACTGACACAAGTACCAAAACAAAGAAAAATGGTAAAAAGCCATATGACTCAGTACTGTTTTGTAAATCATTTAAGTACAAATACCTGATGATTAACGACCATTATAAATGGCTTTCCAGTATTCAATCTCTCTTTCCCACGAATATCATATGTTATGCCAGTCCACATCGAACCGTACCGTAGAATATTAAAAACAAAACTTGGAGGCTAAAGAGATAAACAAGCGAAGCAATCTAGTAAAAAACTATTATCAATTCGACAAAATGAAAGAGCAAAATCCTCCCTCAAAATCTATTCCAGTCCTTTCAATATTTCTATTACAGACAATCAGATAAAATCAGTAAAAATTTAAGCAAAGAAACAAGCAACGTAACTAACATCTCCAATGAAATATAACGGGATGCAAATGATGGCGCTAATGCTCGCACAAAAAAATATCGTCAGATAGAAAGCGGTCATTTTAAAGTAGTAATTCCATGTTCTGTTCCGAGTAACAAGAAGGAAGAGAATGAAGATTGAGGTCAATACCAAGAAGATACATATCCAGCTGAACAGACTCAACCAATCCCGTTCAAGATGGGCCATTCGCTCCACAACTGCTGAAAAGAAGGTACAATACCAGTAACGGAAAACAGCTCAAAAAAACACTCGCACAAGCTTCCTGCCAATGATATACGACAGCAACAAATATAGCAAATGAAACGACACCCCACCCTTTCTCCTTCACAAAACAACTTGATGGCAGCATCAGTCATTCTTAGCTACAATCATTTAGCACATTCCTGAGCAACCCGAACTAATCCGAAACAACTTCCTTCACCGCCATAGATAACCATTACGACCAAACTCCATCCATACAATAAATGCGATTACAATTTTTTACGTTTCCTGATATGTAAAGACTGCAAAAACTTTCCCAGGCACAACATAGAAGCTTCAGTAATTCGATTTATGTAGACTTACACATGTCCAACAGTGTAAAATAAAATGCTTTACGAATTAAACAACGAAACCACAACAGTTAACGTCCAAAATGTACATATATCACCAAAAGAGCATTAACGCCACAGTAAACTGTCCAAAGCAGATGCAATAAAATGTATTTTTAACATCACCAAGGCCTTCCTTTTAAAAGGCGCATATTTCACAGACGAAGCACTGAACGTACAATAAATAATTATTATAATTTTATATAGAGCAATAATAACAGTGGTTAAAATCTAACAATACTATATCGAAGAACTCCTTAAAACCAACATCACACTTTTCTTCATAGAGGTTTTATACAACAGCAACATTTATGTTGAAACAGCCCCAGTACATGAAAAAATTCCCATTACGAACAAAACAAAGTACTTTTTCAAACAAATAAAATGGTCTAAAAACATTTATCGCCAATTACGGCATTTTGAGCAAGGCTTCATAATCAATATCACCATCAGGCAAAACCGGAACATGTCCTTTGCTGGCTAATTCTTTAAGCCCCATACCGGAAAGCGCTAGCTGAGCAAAGTCCATCTTGCCAGCCGCAGAAGTTGTAACACCGCTAAAATTCACACAAAATGCTACATTAGCTGACCGAACAAAAATAAAGATTAAACAGAGAAGTTATTCCGAAGCTGCAAAAATTTGTTCTAATAATGTTATTCATTATACAATCTACTATCAACTAAACCACTAAATTTACTGATAAATAAGAAAGAAAACAATTTAAAACCTTGTCAACCACCACATAATAAACGGTTGAGTAAAAGAAATAAAAAGAAGTAAATATAATTTCCGTTTTCGCGCTGCATCGTGACTGTACATATTTTGCACATCCAGTACAAAATTTTTCACTGTCCTAAGCTGTAAAAAAGTAAATTTGTTGAAAAGCAAAAACTTTCGGCATATCAGAAATATTGTAAACGTTAACAGAGATATTTCACTATAAAAAGTTAAAAGATATTTTTCTTTTATTCTT